ATTTTAAAGATTTTTAAGATTAATAGTATGTAGCATTTATATAGCATTGGCACTGAATTTTAGATTGTGTTTAAAATGTAAGGTAATGCTTTTATGATATATATTATACAATATGTTATATAAGTGTGCACTTGATTTGATAACATCCAATCTAAAAAAGACTTAAATAAGATAGGTATTAAAGCCTTATGTGAATATTGGAACCTTTTTTTTAGTTATGCTTTGTCCTACCAYATTTTTAGGATATCTGTACCAATACTAATTTTGTCACCTAAACAATCTATAGAAATCTAAGTACTAGTATGATACAAGCCTTAAGTGTAACTTTTTTTTTCTTTTCATTTTATGGTATCGCTTAGGATTGGGTGACACCTGTTATGAAAATTTGTCTGATTCTAGGTATTGATGAACATCATAACAATTTATAATCTTTCTTAAAAATATAAATGTGGCCTCTAACCTTTCTAATAATTTGTGACCTTTGGTCTACACCAAACAGTCTTTGGACTTATTAAACAAAATATAGACTATTGTAGACTATGGTCTATTTATGTTAATATCACACATACAACTGTACATATTTTGTTTAATTATTTTTAGGCAACTTCATCTTGCTATTCTCCATGGATATATCCAAGTATCAAAACGCTTAATCGATATTTGTCCAGATTCCAAACTTTTAGACATACGAAATGATGATGGCCAAGTAAGTGTTTAATACTATTATATGTTAATGTCAAATTTAAGGAAATTTATAAATAGTTAAACTATATTATTTACCTATATATTTTTTGCTCACATGTTCTTTAAATTTAAAAATCATAAAACCTATCTGGGTGCCTATTATTGAAAATTTCAATATAATATAAAATTATATTTTAAACCAGCTTTAAGATAATTATCCACTAACATCTCTACTTATCTGCTCGAAAAGTTATATTTTATTTCATTGAAAATAGGCACTTCATTGCATTTGGTTATTTTATTTGACTAATATTAGAAGTATTTATGTATTGCAACTTTCAACTAGTCACAACTATTTTACTGGACAAATTTTTTATGATCTGTATACTATAATCAATAAATAGATAAATTGAAAATACATTTAAGTTTTAACTCAATACACATTCTTTATGTTAGATTTCCTATTCTAATTAATTTGCTTATGACAAAAAAAAATATAATATATATTGGTTTAATTTGTGTAATTATCATTTGTGACTAAATGAGTAAATATTTTTATTTTATTTTTGTGTTGACATTGTATGATACCTTTTATAACATAAATATTTTTTTGTTAGACCCATATTGATCTTTATCTAAATTTTTATCTTTAGAGTGCTCTTCATTTGGCTGTTATGACAAATCAATGTGAAATTGTGAAATACCTAATGATGGCTAATGCCAATGCAGAAATTTTAGATTGTAATGGCAACACAGTTGTTCATTTGGCATGTTATGGCGGAAAACTAGATTGCCTGAGAATATTAGCTAGTTACGTGTTACTGCCAAAAATATTTGATACTATTAATTATGATGGTATGTATCTAATTTATATCAAATCTATAAATATTATTTTGAATTTGATAATTGTATCTGAATGATAATTTATACTTAAAGAAAAAAATTATGAATTAAAATTATAGTTAAATATTTGTTATTTTTATTTGGACTTATAGTGTTAGTAATTTTTAAATTTTGAATCATACAAATCTGATCAATTACTAATGATGATCAGTGAATACTAATTTTAAAGAGGTCCTCGGTGATCTTAAGAAATATYTGTTAATCTTTGGAAATTGTGGTAATCTCTGAAAATCTAAAATTTGGTGTATGAAATAGCGACTAGTAACATCACCTAGATATTATAAATAGTATCAACAATATTGTGTGGTGACAATTATTTTTTTAATAATATTAAATTACTTTTTGAAAAGAAAATCACACATTTATATTGGTATWTTATAAATTAAATAAATACTTTTTATTCAGTGTATAATTTTATTTTAAAGTTATTATGGTCTGATAGATGTTTGTTTTATGTTTAAAATAGTAATCTACTGGCTTGTGTCCAATGTATATACATTTATACTTTTGATGGAATTTGATACCAGTATAATATTAATGTTTGAATAATGTTTTTATTTTTCACTTTAAATGCTGNGACATCCACGACTTACCTGCCTTTTTAAATACGCATTGCGTGTATTAAATTAATTGTTCTATGATTTTTCCTAATATGTCTACGATCGCGCGCCTAACAGCATTGGAGGTTGATAGTTTGATACTGTCTTGTTACAGTGTTGGTACTTCAGATTTCCATTATAATAATACATAAAAAGTATTCTGTGGTTGGTATCAACACGATCACGATCGCATTAAAATATTTTCGTGGTCGATTCCCGTATTTTCGAGCTGTGATAATATTATCGTACCCACATAAACACATAAACATAATATTATTATTTACTATTACCATAAAATAAAAATAATAGGTATCGTGTCGTCGTTTTCTGTTGGCCGTGTTCGGTGTTCCGCAGSCCGCGGCTAGTCTGTACTACAGAATCTGTAGTCAGTCTCGACTTCACCCGACCACGACGACGCCAAGCGACGAGCTCGGCAGCTGGCATGATTGGCACKGTTTTTAGCTTAGTAGGTACTTACCATAATATAGTTACTGTTGTACTTGTAGTGTATAGTCGTGCTATAGACTATTATAACGAGTAACGACTGCAGTTGTGCGCCGCTCGTGTCCGTCGTCGGTCGCAGTGTGACTGTGTGAGTGAGTGAGTGACGGTGAACTGGCATATTGGCATATATTTTTTTTTGTATGGCATTGTAGCATTGTAACAATCGAGTCTACGACTTCAAGCCGTCCCAAATTGTATCCATATTTTGTTCACTTAAATTAATTCTGTACTATCGTATGATAGTCTTCCGATCGTTTACAAACAAAAATTATCATCGCCGTTCTAGTCCATTTGTGTTTATTTGTGTTCTATATTATTGTTGAAAAATTTTTTTTGCATTTATTTTTCTTTTTMGATCCGCAGTTACCGTGTGTTTTTTTTTACCGACCGCAACAGAGCTTTGTTTAACCAGTACTCACTAATCGCGATACCATATTATAATTGATAGTTTAAGTTGCATGTTCAATCCATTGTGCATTATACACCTATTTTCTACAGTATAATATTACTTTAAGAATATTCGTCATTGCCGTGMATAGATTTTTTCTTTTATAAACGCACTTTTTATTGACATAAACTATGTGGTCCAAGAGCAACGCAGACAAACTAAAAATGGAACTTTCAGGCAAAAGGGACAAACAACAGCAGTCCATTAAAAGTGAGAAGATTACCGAAGACAATGCCAACATAAAAATGGATTCTGGATTCTTGTCTGGTGCCAATTTGTCTTGTGATAATATGTTATCCAAAGAAAATATTGAATACGACATCAAGAACAAAGAGCCCCTCAACTTAAAACAACAGAAGGATGCAACAGAAATTGCCTTGGATAGTGGCTTGGATATCTGCGAATCAGGCTGTTTGAGTGAATTGGATATTGACCAGAAAAAAATTTGCAAACCCTGTTCCAWAAATGATTGGCAATTTTATTTTCAACAGAATGAAGATGGTGACACGTATGTACCTCAATATTTTATATTTATATAATAATTATACCWGTCTAATTTTATCTAAAACCATTTAGATATTATCAAATCTGAACTTGAGTTTATTCACAATCTCTAAACCAATAGTAATAGGTATCYTCGGTTATACAATTGATTATATATTACTATCAAGTATAGACAATAATCAGTAGGTAATTCAAATCCCTGAGTCTTGTAATAGGTACTTAATTAATGTTAATATTTCCAACTTAAAAAAAAAGCTAATTGATGAATTTAGTTTATTTGATATTTAGATGTAGGTATGTGGTAARATTACCGACATAGTTATAAGCATCTCAAAACTTATGAAATTAATTTTAAACATTATTTATTATTTGATTATTAGGTATTTAAGCATTTTAAAGATTTTTAAGATTAATAGTATGTAGCATTTATATAGCATTGGCACTGAATTTTAGATTGTGTTTAAAATGTAAGGTAATGCTTTTATGATATATATTATACAATATGTTATATAAGTGTGCACTTGATTTGATAACATCCAATCTAAAAAAGACTTAAATAAGATAGGTATTAAAGCCTTATGTGAATATTGGAACCTTTTTTTTAGTTATGCTTTGTCCTACCAYATTTTTAGGATATCTGTACCAATACTAATTTTGTCACCTAAACAATCTATAGAAATCTAAGTACTAGTATGATACAAGCCTTAAGTGTAACTTTTTTTTTCTTTTCATTTTATGGTATCGCTTAGGATTGGGTGACACCTGTTATGAAAATTTGTCTGATTCTAGGTATTGATGAACATCATAACAATTTATAATCTTTCTTAAAAATATAAATGTGGCCTCTAACCTTTCTAATAATTTGTGACCTTTGGTCTACACCAAACAGTCTTTGGACTTATTAAACAAAATATAGACTATTGTAGACTATGGTCTATTTATGTTAATATCACACATACAACTGTACATATTTTGTTTAATTATTTTTAGGCAACTTCATCTTGCTATTCTCCATGGATATATCCAAGTATCAAAACGCTTAATCGATATTTGTCCAGATTCCAAACTTTTAGACATACGAAATGATGATGGCCAAGTAAGTGTTTAATACTATTATATGTTAATGTCAAATTTAAGGAAATTTATAAATAGTTAAACTATATTATTTACCTATATATTTTTTGCTCACATGTTCTTTAAATTTAAAAATCATAAAACCTATCTGGGTGCCTATTATTGAAAATTTCAATATAATATAAAATTATATTTTAAACCAGCTTTAAGATAATTATCCACTAACATCTCTACTTATCTGCTCGAAAAGTTATATTTTATTTCATTGAAAATAGGCACTTCATTGCATTTGGTTATTTTATTTGACTAATATTAGAA